CTTTGTTCATGAAAGATGGGTGGCTATGCACAGCTGCAGATGAAATGCAGGCAGCTGAGAGGGACTGGAGCTATCAGCATAAGTGGAAAAGAGTAGAGTTACACTGGTATATTCACAATATCTGCAGCAAAACAAAGTTTGGCCTGCAGTCCATGAAGTAAATTGTGATCTCAGAATTATTCAGTGATGCCCACTGTTGTTGTTTCATGGCATACTTACCATTTGAGGACAAAACTTTGATTCAAGTCTGGAATGATGCTAATGGCACAAAGGCAACACCCCTGTGAACAGCTGAAACCCCATCATATCCCCATTATTAACACACACCTCACCTGTGACAATATGGTCTGTTGCATCTTTTTTATTTTTCCTTCATCCCTTTCCTTTCTCTTTCTTTTCAGGTGCATACAGACTGAAGATGAAGACATACTGAAGTCCATGAAATCTTGCGTTCATGAAACACTCACTACCGTTGCCCAGTATTTTGGCCAGTTGATAGAGCTGGTTTTAACACATGAGGCCCAGGTTAGTTTATAGTAAAAGAAGTTTTCCAAAATTGTTGACTCTTGAGGGAAACCATCAATTAAAGATCCAAGAGTTAGATGGGGCTCTGAGCATTCTGATCTAGTGAAAGCTGTCTCTGCCCATGACAGGGGCATTGGAACTAAATCATCTTTAGGGTCCCTTCCAACCCAAGTCATTCTATGATTTTGTGATTAAGGGGAGGAATTACAGCTCTGTTTTCAGCAAATTTATGATCAGTAATTCAAATACATTGCTATGAGATTTTGATGTTTGTATTCTCAAATTCTGCAATAACCTCACTTCCCAAGCAAAATGATCTTGTGGCTCACCATGTTACTTACTTTTCCTGATGTCCTCTTTCGCTGCTCTGAAGATGACTAAATATCTGTGTGAGAGATCATAACTTTCAGCTTAAATTGTAAGGTGCTTTCCTTTCTAATCAGTGTATTGGGATTTTATTCAGGATAGGTTCATATCAGACTGTGAACTGTTAAGCTCTATCTTTTATGAAATATTTTTCTAGTGCTAAAGGTGGAAGAATAGAGCCTCTTAAAGGGAAGGTAATTGAATTTTGTATAAATAACAGTGTAAAATGTGGGATACTTCCTTGAGCTTCTTTCAAAGTCAGATTAAATACAAAAATGCTTACCTTCTTCCCGTAGCAAATATAAATAATTCTTCCTCTAATGATTCTATATCCTTTCAGAGAGAGTAAACTGAAATAAACTTCATATTCCTCTGACAGCTGTGCTTCTCTATGAAGCTGCAATGGCATGAATGCAAAAGCAAGATAATTATTTACAGAGAAAAAATATGTAATCAATTTCATACATGGGAGAAATGAACTATATTTCTTTATGAGAATTCCCTGTATTGGTCGGTTACATTTTCTGTGTACATTGAGAATAGTGGTGAACAGAAAGGGTATAGCAATACTCTTTTTAAATAAGGTGGAAATCTAGTATCAGCATGTGATACAGCTTCCACACTAAGATAAATTAGTTGCCTTCTGAAAATTCTAGTTCAATCCCAGGCCAAACCCAATAATAATTTACTAAATAGCTGAAGAGTTCTTTACTGAATGTTCTCACACGTGTACCCATTGTCGTACTCTGTTAATATTTATTTTTAAATATCACTATTCTCAGTTGCATCTATTCAAATGCAATGATGAATGTGCTACAGCGTTATATTTATTTTTAAATATCACTATTCTCAGTTGCATCTATTCAAATGCAATGATGAATGTGCTACAGCGTTACTAACTTAACTCATCCAAGTTTTTTTTTCTCTGGATGAGAAACAAGATGATTAAATGAATTAGACTTTCTACTCCATCTTATCTTTAAATATAGACTCATAGAATCATTAAGGTTGGAAAAGACCTCCAAGTTCATTGATCTAACACAAATGCCTTTCATTGGAAGTAAATTATGTTTATTATCTTCTGTGACACAGAACCTGCTGAGACAAATTGAACTCTCGGACAGTATGTACGTCACTGAGTCAGCCATCAGTAGTTTATTCAGCCTTACCCAGGAGGGTGCTCACCTCTGCCGTATCATAGCTCAGGTAAGGGGATATATGGATTAATCCAAAGCAAGATAGTAATACAAGTAAGTTATTTTCACTTAACACAGTAGTGGTTGCAAGTTTTGAAATGTGTGGTGCAAGATGAAATTCTGTATTTCAGGAGATGCATAATCTAGGGTAAAGAGCAACAAAATTTACTCTGAGAGACTATGTATTTTTTCTTCTTTTGCTGCTCTTGCAAGCCTTACTCTGCAGACTTCACCGCAACAATTGCCCTATTAAATTTTTATTTTTTTTAAAAAAGTAACAGGCTGAGGAAGTTGGGGCTGTTCAGCCTGCAGAAGAGAAGGTTGCATGAAGACCTCATAGGAGTCTTCCAGTATCTGAAGGGGACCTACAGAGAAGCTCATCTTTGTTAGGAGCTGACGGGACAAGTGACAGGACAAGGGGCAATGGGTACAAATTGAAAGAGGGGAAATTTGGGTTAGATATTAGGAAAATGTTTCTTCCTGTGAGAGTGGTAAGACACTGGCACAGGTTGCCCAGGGGGGTAGTAGATGCCCCAACCCTGGCAGTGTTCAAAGCCAGGTTGGATGAAGCCTTGAGCAACCTGGTCTGGTGGGAGATGTCTCTGCGCAAGGCAGGGGGAGTTGGGACTGGATGATCTATAAAGTTCAATCCAACCCCTAAAATTCTATGACTCTAAGAAATGGCCACAGACCCCCAATCTGTAATTTAACACAGCTTCATGCCTGTACAAATGGCTGTAGTAAGGATGGTAAGCTCCAACAGACTTCTGAGCATTGTTTTAATTACAGTTGTATTTGTGCTGCCTGAGGTAATACCACTCTCTCCATCATTTTGGGAACATTTTTAGTGTCTCTCTTGATAGTACTGTTAAAGTACCAGCCACATAAATGGAGATAAATTTCACAGTTGGCTATGCATGTGGCTGACTATGCAGGGAAAAAGCTAAACCTCTTCAGCTGTATAAACAGAGTAGGTTAGAGATATTATTAAAGATGTAATTTTGGAAATACATTGCATTCATTATTACCCTTTTACAAATGAACATCATTGCAGTGTGTGTTCTTGTTTACTGAATAGTTGATGCTAACTTTTGGTATAAATGAATCATTGTGCCAAGATCAATGATACTGGAAATCCCTGCAGAATTTGCACCTTAGAGGACACTTGATCTTCTAAAAGTGAGAAAGGTGGACAATGTTTGATGTTGAGGATAGGATAATCACTACCAGAGGGTATGCAGAAAGAATCAAACCTCCCTCTCCAAGCTTCTGCTTGTGGAGTGGTGTGCCAATTCCTTATCCTGCTCAGAGATGAGGTCAAAGAGCAGCATTTAATTAATTTTACTTCTGATGTGCCTTCAGATGGATATTCACACCATAAAAGGTACTGCTCTGTTCTGAAGGCTGAGAATGAGGTAGACTCAGAAACATGTAGTGGATCTGGCAAGAGCCTGAGGGGTTAATTTTTTCTAAATTGGTATTTGAGCTCCACACAGTGGTATCCAAAACCAATGATAAAATGTTGAGTATTGAGGAAAGGCAGAACTAACAAATTAAGGAAAATTGGTCTTGTGCTTTTTATCATGGTTTGATTTCTATAACAGTTTAATGTAGCAGAAGTGAAGTCACTAAACTAATATATTGCTAAAACCTGGATGTGTCACAGATTTACAACTGAGGAAATGCATCCCCTTATGCAGAGAGCCCCAGGTGGAGTTTGGTTGCCAATTTACAGTGAAGGTAGCATCACCTGTCCTGTGTCTGTGTGTCTGTCTCCCCTGTGCACTGTGAAATGCATTGGTCCCAAGTCACCATCATCCTTCACCCTCTGTATTGCCTCAGTTACCTGTATCAGTGACCAAGGTGGCTGAGAAATTGTAACAGACCAGAATTTCAAATTAAGCCATTTGAATAGTTAGCTGTGACAGCAAAAATGCCAGGTGACTTTAAAAAACAAAAGACCACCAGAAAAAATACCTGAAATTGCCCTCACTCATTATGAGAGGGAGAAAGGATTAAAGTCATGGAAAGATCTCAAAACCTTCCAGAGATACCAAAGTTCCTTTGGGAGCTGTCCTACTATCGTTGGTAAAAACTAGCCAGAGAAGTGGAATATTTGTTTACTGTGAAAGCAAAACTCCACAAATTTGTTCATGTAACCTTGACGTCTTACTCTCCACGACAAAGTGTGATCTCATGGTACACTGTTAGATTTTTTCCCTGTTCCGAGCTATAAATTGCAACTCTAAAGCACACCAAAATCTCAGAGACACAAAAAAAGAAACACAACAGTAGTGTAAAGCTACAATATTACAGGAACTGGTTTCTCACTTTACATTTTGGTAAGGGTTTCAGGCTTCTCTCTCTTTCTCCCTCATCCCCTGCCATTAATTTGGAGAAATTAAAAAAGGCTTTGAAATGCTCTCCCTCTGTGATGAATCGTCACCTACAATTTTATTCCACCTAGAGGCATTCTGTGACACTTTTTTTTAGCATGTAACTTTGTAATCTGCTGTGAAAGAGTCATGTTGCTGACTCACCCTGGCAGCCACCTAGTAGTTCTCACTAGCTGTCAGAACTATGAAGTATAAGGTCTCTAACAAAAATGAATAGTAACAAGGACAAGACAAGAAAATTAGCATTACTTGTAGCAAACTGATTCTAAATAATTTGGCTTTGTAACAACCAGAAGAACTGGTAAAAATCTATTCCAGAGTTACAATAAATAAATGCTGGGACATAGAATGATAAAGAAAAAAAAAAGGTCTTTTTAAAAAAATCAGTTTTATCAATGATAGAGTCCAAAATCAACTGTAGTGAACTGAGTGCTGTAATAATAGTAATCTAAATGAGAAAGGTATAGCTATCTTCATTTTTGATTCTAACTATCACACCCTTTGCAGATTGCTTGACTATTTGAGTTCCATATGTCTGCATAGCAGATCACTTGCTCAGGGAAGCGTTTAATGCATCTTGGCCTTACTTTCTTTGTAGACCAGTTCCTTTCCTAGGAAGTATTTACTATGAAGTTCTCTTTGGAGATCATCTATCAAGATAATTGTAAATGTTGACAAAGACTTGATGAGAATTGACTGCACTTTGAATAATTTCAGGCTGAAACTGTGAAATATTCCACCTTAGAGTTGGATGCCTTTTCCTTCCCTCTTGATTCACTCAATTTACTATGCACAGTGAGGCTTTTTATGCACATGACCCCCTTCACATAGTTTTGATGATTGTATTTCAGGTAGTTTTGTTATCTACAGCTAGCTCTTCTGAACCACATCCTAAGGATGTTCCCACAAAATTGAATTCCTATTAATCCGGTAGAGGAGAAAAGTAGGTCATCAAGCAGTAAAGCAAGTGCTTCTCTCTTCCTCATTGCTTCAGAGTATGTGGAGTCTGACCCAAACGAAACTTGAATTACATCAAGAACATGATTTCGTGTGTTATTTGGTCAAAAACTGGAAATGCCAAAAAAAGGATTAATAAAAGCATCATTAGACATATTGGGAGCTTTTGGAAAAGTGCAAGTTAATCTCCAAGGCAAGCTCAGTACTGTTATGTTTCTTTCTCTGAATGGTACTGTACATACTAATTTATGTATTACCCTGTCAGATGGAATATTTTGGCATAATTGTAAAAGATACAGGGGACAAATCTTGAAAGAGGTGAGTAAATCCTGAGAAATGCTCAAATCCTAGGGAGGGGACTGGTTTTGACAAGCCATGTAATCAGGCTCAGTATTTTCTATCTATCCTATCAATCTATCTATCCACTTACAGATCTCTAGGTTCATTACTCATGATCAATGTTTTATAGCTTGGTAATGGCACACAAAGCACAAAATAAACAGTTTAGATCTCATCGTGACAAATGCAGTGATATATCACTTCCTGTCCATCAGAGGCAAAAATAGGACACTCATTTGTCATACAGAAGGCTTGAAGCAAATGTGCCAACATCATTTGAGCTTTACTGGTGTTGTCCACAAACTTTTGCTTATTATGGCTAAAACAGAGAATCAGATCATCTCTGATTCTATTGATCTGTGGGAAATTTCAAATTGATAAAGACATTTACACCCCTCCTCCCACACACAAAAAAAAGACTTATCTTTTGTGAGAGGACACCACTGTAACAGCTTTTTTTTTCTATGTATTTGATAGATAATTACTGCTTGGGTGAAATATCAGTATCCATTTGTGGAAGGTAAAACATGTCTGAAACTTTTTGATTAGTGTGCTGCCTCTTTTTTAATTCAAAGGCTCAGCAGTATCTTTCTGCAGTAGGCTATATATAGCAGTACCAGATATAAAATAACTCATACAGGTACATGAGCACCTATTACAATTCCAGAATTGAGTTTTACTCTAAACAAACTTCAAACTGTTTTCACTTATGTCACAGAAATTACATATGCATGTGCGAAGAGAGGATAAAAAACTTCTATCTGGAAAATACATTGAAGTGTTAATTTTGTCTAATTCTATTTTTCTTCTAGAATGGTAGATATTTTTTGTTAGACTGAACAGATGGTTTTGCTTGCTCTATTATTCTCTATTCAAGCAGAACTCATACAAAAATATAGAATTCTGAAAATGAGTGAAATCTGAATTGTAGCCCAGAGGTTTTATGTCTGTACAACCTGTTGAGCTTTCAAATAGTACAAATGGTTTAGGAAAAAAAAAGATTATTTCTATGAATCTAAAAATATTTTTAAACAGAGGCTACTGAAACGGACTTAAAAAGAAGGGTGTATTTTACACTTGGTGCATGACTCCAAGTACTTTTAATTTACTGCTGTAATCTGAATTCTTTAGTCTGAGATCTTTCATCTGTCATCAATATTTTAAATGCTTTCCTCTTCATCATATGTCTGCTCTTATACTATGTAAGACATCTGTAGTCCACCTGATAGCATAACATTTTAAAATGAAAAATGATGGAAGAAAACCACCTCACCATATGAAATGCATATATTGTTGGTATTCATTTATATCATTATAAGTTATATATAGAATTATATATAAATATGTATATAGTTTATATATAAGTATATATGTTATATATTTTAAGTTATATCATTATAAGTTCATTTGTTATATGACCTTTGCTAACACATATGTATACAGCTGTGTTGGAAATGATTAAGGGTAGCTGCTCTAGTGATGTATATATACTTGAGTCTTTGCCATTATTGTCATATTTAAAGAAAAGTGCTTAGGAATGCAAATTTTATCTGTTAGAGGATGGAGATATGGATTGTATCTGCATAGAACTTGACACCTATTTCCACCTTATTTTCGGTAGCTGTTCAAACATATTACCTCTTTCCTTTTTTCAGAATTAAGTAAATATTGCATGGAGCTCGGATATTTAGAGCAGTAGGGAATATATGCTAAGAAAGATCTGTTCTATACTAACAGAATATGGCTGAACTATCGCTTAAATGTCACCCTAATTGCTGCCTATTGATAATTCTTTGTAATTTTCACATGAATGTCAAGTTTAATTTAAATTGAGCTTGTAATTGGTAAAAGTCAATCACTTAAGCACACCTCCCACTGAGGCTATATTGCTTTTTCATCACTTAGTGTACAAGCATTAATCAACTTGAGTTCTCTGTGTGAGCTTAACATCCTCTTTGTTGGTGTTTGGTAATTTGGATAAATTACTAGAGGAATCTGCCCCCCCCATCCCACTCTTGGTTAAATACTAGTGAAATATTCTGTGCTACTTTTCTGATTTTTGTTTTTCCCTGCAGGAAGGAGGTGTAGTTACTCTCTTTAAGATCTGTCGCCAGGATTGTTTCAGGTGCCTTTATCCCCAGACGCTGAGAACATTGGCATCCATTTGCTGCATAGAGGAAGGGATGCACCAGCTGGAAAAGGTAGGCACTTCAATATTCTTTACTGACTGGGTCATAAAACAGAGAAGTCCTGTCTTTAATCTCTTCTAGGAATTGATAATTTGGTGGTGCTTGATGCTGTGCTCCATACTATGCTCACCTTTTCTGTGCTGAGCACATCTTCAGTGTTTACAACATTAGCCCCAGCAATAGCATGATCCCATTATCCTTGCACAAATAAGCCTTCTAAGTGGTGATAATTTTTGTAAAACAGGTAAACATGTTAGTGACTACGTCATAAAACTAGATAGATTATTTCTGGACTCTTTGAAGTGTTTGTTTAGAAACTCTGCTATTTCAAATAATCCTTAAAAGACAGGAAGCTTTATAGCTCTTTAAATCCTTTCCTGACACTCTGGCAGGGCACCTGCTTGTGGTACTGTGGCAACTTGAGAGAGTTGTAATTGCACAGAAAGGAGTGGGACAGATATAGTAGCTAGCCAATTGAAAAACATGTCTGCTAATCAGCAACAGGTCTCATAAAAGCCAATTTTAACTGGGATGGCCAACCCCAAACATTATCCAGATAAAATTATATCAACTGCTTAGGCTCCATTCCTTTCTCACTCTCACTACATACTCTTGTGTTTTGGAAAATGAACACTTCTGGGCACTAAATCATGATCTCATCCTTTGTATTTCATAAAACAGTCATCTTCCACAGTTGAATAATGGCCTCTTCAAGTTAATGATAAATGATTTCACTGCCACTTTACATTGACGTATCTTGTAATTTACTGCCCCGAATTCAAGCAAACTGTGACAGAACATCTGCAGCAAAAAGCAAGTCTCTGAACTTACAGTAAATGAAGATGACTTAAATTTTTTTTGACATAATGCTGGTTCAAACTGACACCAGAATCAGTCTGAAAGGATCTTTCATTATGTCCACTATAATAGCAGAATTAATAGAATTAGAAATTTAAGAGATTAATTTGACTCACCTGGTCTACTTCCTGGCAGTGTCACCATGTGTTTAGTGTGGCCCATATCAAAGAAACAGGAGTTCTAGAAAAAGTGAAAATTCTCAAGTTCATATTCCTTTAATCTACTTCAATGTTGGTCACAAGTGAAAATGCTCAGGATAGACTTTATTACAATGAGGATTGGAGTAGGGTTTAAAGGATTTTTAACTGAAATCCCTACCACTGCTATCAGTAGTTCATTTTTCACATAGGCCTTCAGTTCCTTAATCACATCTTGGCAAAACTTAAGACTGTAACATGAGGAGCTGGACATTAATCCTACTCACCTGACTGAACACATTTATGGCAGGAGCATTTGGTTATCACATTGGCAACTTCTTTGCCTAAAATTGTGTGTCTGAAGGTCTGTGTGTTCTGTGGGTTCAGTACACTCCTGGGTTTCTGGTGGGCAAGAATGTGCTATTTCATATATCAAAATAAACAAAGACATTTTTTCTGCAAGGAGGTTAATGTCCCTCTAAGTGCTGATGGAGGTTAAGCAGCACAGGCCATGTCAGCTGTATGTCATCTGTAAATAATCTCTCAGATGATGACAGCTGATGTTTGCCAAGTTCAGAGAGCTCTGAGGAATGATAGTGAGCAAGAAAGTTTTACTACTCTTTGTACACTCTCTTCACCCTTCTTGTACACCTATTTAGTGTCAACAGGTTACTCTACCACAGGGAATCAGTGGAGAGTGCATGGCTCAGCTGCCCGGTATTTTGATGGGAATGGCTCCCCAGGTTTTTATGGTGTCTTCTTTAAATAAGGATGATTTTATTTTTTTTTTTTCAAAATTGGAAGTACTCTTGCAAAGAGCATTAATAGAATTAGCAATCCTATAATTACCAAAGTTACCATAGGACCTCTTACCTGGCAGGAATGGTGGCTTCTATAACCCAACTCAGTACCCAGATGCTGGTGAAGCATTTCATTTACTCTAATGTGAATATCATTATGCCACCTAGTGCATTAAAACATCAGTGCAATTTGAACTTGATTTTTAATGACAGAAACTTCATTAAAAAAAATTTAATTAAAAAAAATCTTGGCCTCCAAACAATTCAGATTAGGCAGTTCAAGATTCCAAAAACTAAATTAAAAACCCCACACAAGCCCTCCCCCCTCAGTTTTTCAATTAGATTAAAGTGTTTAAAAGACCACTTAAAAGAAGGCAGCAAGAGCTATAATTTCTAATGAAACATGTGCCTGAGAGGTGAACTAAAAGGAGGTGGTGTACTTCCTACAGTAATTGCAGTGCTTAATTGCTAAAGACATCAGGAGTATTGTTTATTTATCCAGTGCTCTTTGATCTTGACAATTGAGCAGCAAGAACACAGGTGTTAATGTAGGTGGTTATTTAGAAAGCAAGCAGGGAAGTCTGTAGTTCACAGGAGGCAATCTAAGCAGAGAGTTTCTTAACTTTTTAACATCTGTCTTTAAGATACCTGAGTATTTGGCTTTCTTTATACTCAGTACAAGTTTAATGTGAATGATGTTATACTGGGTTTAAACCACTTGAGTGTTTTTTTGGATTGTAATATGGAAATACCATCCACATTTAGTAATGAGGGAAAGTAGCAATTGAGCGCTCATTTCTAAAGATGTAGAAAATTGCCTGTTTTAAAGCAAAAATATTCCCTTCCATTTATCATTTCTAAAGATGTAGAAAATTGCCTATTTTAAAGCAAAAAATATTCCCTTCCATTTTAAAAAAATTACTTTGTGTTCTTCACAGTCACACATCTTTAAATATAGCACATTTGGAAAAGCCATTCTTACATTTTCATCATCTTGATAAACAAGCTGATCTTTGCTGCAGTTGCAGTGGTGAGGTGGTTGTTGCAATGATTAGCTTTTCCTCTTTTAGGTGAATCTAGTTGGCTGTATGCACAATAAACCAAAATCAGTTGGTTAAAATGCCAGTGTAGAACAGTTGTTATTTTACTTGAAAGTACTTTACTGAATTTTGAAAAGGTACTGTTACTTTGTTGTACAATAAACTGCAGAGCTTCAGGAACTCGACGGCAACAAAGACTTTGTTGTACAATAAACTGCAGAGCTCCAGGAACTCAAAGGCAACAAATTAGTCAGGCAATTAAAGTAGAAAAATAGTGAAGAAATAGTCTCATTATGTGAAGGAGAACAGTGTAAATAAATGTTCTATGTAAGCTGTGCTCAACAGGTGATAATTTTGGTGCTTCAAGCCTCTTGTAATGTCTGGTTGTTTGGTACACTTTAATTTTGTCATCCACTGTGACACCAGCAGGTTTGAGATCACTGTTTGATCTTAGCTCTCCAACCAGTCCCACTTCAGATAGGAGTGGAGAGACCCTGGAAAAGCAGTCAGAACATATTATTCCTATAGGTCTCTGTCCCTGTACGTAAGGGAACTTTGTCATCTGTGTTTTGTGGCACTTGAACATGCAACGTTTTTAGGGGAAAGATCACTGCTTCTCTCTCTCAAGAGAGAATATATAATACAGGTAGTAGATAATATAGAAAATAGATAAAATCCCTAAAACCAAAAGAAGTGAAAGGAGATTGTTGGAGGTGAGCATGACTGAAACTGAAAACAATGTTGGCGCTGCATTCCCTAAAACCAAAAGAAGTGAAAGGAGTTTGTTGGAGGTGAACATAACTGAAACTGAAAACAATGTTGGTGCTGCACATGCAGACCTGTTGGTGTATCCTGCCCTGAGGTTTAGGACAGAAATGCAATGATGTAGTGGGAGATTGGTTCTCAAAATAGACTTTTATTGAGGGTTCTGGAAGGAAGAATGTCTGAACCTTCATCAATGTGCTTTGAAGACTTAATTCACCTCAAAGGTTCCCATGTAGGAAGGACTGTTGGAGGCACAGAGTTGGTTAAATTGTCATGTGTATTTCATGAAATGTAAAAAAAATTAGAAATGTGATCTTGATAATGTACATCCTGCAAATTATATTAGGAATAACTGTACTTCAAATACTGCTTTCATTGTCAAGACACGTATAAAATCTAACAGATTGTTTTCAAAATGAAGCAACCTTGCCTGGAAATGGGGTTTGGGTTTGAAATATATCTTTAGCACATTATTTTGCCTAAAGCAACTCTTCAGCCCTTTCCCATCCTGAGGCTGCATTAGGTCCCTGTTCCGCAGAGCTCTCTGAACAAAGTGTCTCCTGACACATTTGCTGACATGCAGCCTCATTAAAGTGTAAAGACTGTGGCAGTTTCTTTACTTCAGGTCTGTCCATACAAAAGGTAGTGGTGGTGATGCTAAAAGACATGGCTTTTCAGTTTTTGCCCTACCTGAAGCTCAGTTGTGTGATTTTTCACCGCGGCTTCTGCTGCAAAAAACTTCCTGCTGCAATAAAAGAACTGCAGAGCTAGTTCAGAAATCAACAACAAACAGGCCATGCCATGTACTGCAGCTTTTACTGTGCATGTGAAAACTTAGTAAGTTGAAAAGATGCAACTCAGCTGGAACCTGGATCGTGAAAACTTAGTAAGTTGAAAAGATGCAGCTCAGCTGGAACCTGAATCAAGGCTCAACTGCCACAAAAGCATAATGATTATACAAATAGTCATTCAAGCAGCTGTCTAAATATTAACACTGTGCAGTGTATGTTTACTTACACTATTTAAACTACTCCAGAAAGCAAGACACCTGGAATCAACTCATCAAGAGGAAATAATCCAGAGACACTGGTGACAACAGTTGTTAGTTTCACCTTCTTTTTAACAAATGACACAGTTTTTATCATGGGGCTTTAATGCCTAGGAATAGTTTATAAATTGCTTGGAATCCTCCATTTAAAGCACATTGTACCTAATTACCTCCAGAAAAAGAATCTGAAGAAGGGGGATGCAAGTATAAAGTGTATGACTTTTGTGGCTGGGAAACTATGAATTTCACAAAGACTTCTTAAACATGAGTGACCTAAAAATCTGTTGTTCACTGTGAACTCAGTCTGATTTTTACAGCAACCATGATCTTATACATAATATTAATTTCTGAATTATGGGAATGT